TGTTCCGCGACGAAAACAATGTTGAGCAATGGCGATGTCGAATGGTGACACTCGGTAAGTAATCCTACAATTTTTTGTTTATAGCGTAGTTTATACGGATTATTCCCTTCAAAAATATACATATTTTGGAAATGTTGAGTAGGATTAGTCTAAAATCGATTAATTTTATGGAAGAAAATCTTTCAAACAGCCGTAGTCCGTAAACTTGACACGTGTCGGGTTGTGATTGGAAGGATTCGTAAGAAATCGGATTCCTAAAGAATGGAACGTATCTATATCTTATAGGGGGGTCGACTGTACTTGTTAAGTAGAAATAAGTCGAAACCGGTTACTTTGTACTCGAATATTTTAGTCTTGGGAAAAAAGTGAAAAGACAAATTTTTATGATAACGGATACATAAATCGTAAATTTAAGGAAAATAAATTATAGAGCTTTTTCTGTACCTCGTGCATTTCTCTCATTCATTAAATTTAGTTGTAAATGATTCTACCAAAGTAACGGTTAATTTTTTAACATTTTACAAGGATTGTACACGTTTTTTCCTATATCCCCTTAAAGATGGAACATCCGAAATCGTAATATTTCGTATGTTCGGTTTAACATAAAAATCCGTAAATAATATAAGATGGGAGAGCGGAATAAAAATATAAAATATTTTAATGGTTTTTTTTAAAATCCTGTCAACTATACAGACCTATCATAAAAAAATACCAGTAAATTCTTATCGGTCGGGTTAAGTTATAAATCTACTCGTGATTCACATAACGGGGCGAGGACGGCCAAACATCTAGCAGGAAGCGGCTAACAGCCCAGAACCGGTCCTGGATAGAATAATTGGAAGCGTTATACGTGTGTAGTTCCATCAGCTAAACCGGGTTAGGTTAGTGCTCTTTCAAGCGCATGCGCGAATGAGTATAATCTGGCTGTTTCGAAGCTAACTATACAGTGCTTCCATTCCGCCACTGATATTCGAATATAAAGTAGCAATTTTGTCGTTTTTTTCAAATGTACTATAGAAATTTGTAATAAGATACATAATGCGGTTATAATAAAATATTAATTTTAATTATATGAAAATAATCGCGCAATACGTATTTACTTTTTAGGAAAATACTAGGGAAGCGGCGCTTCCACCGATTCCAATGACGGTACGCCACTGATAATTATAATTAAAATATGTTCCCTTAAAAGGAGTTTGACAGATGACCAGCACGACTCTATTGCAAACAGGAAAGTATGACGTACAGGGTCAAGACAATACTAATTTCAGGGAAAGAGCATATACCTATATTTTAAATTAAACTAACAATTATTTATTGTGACATCGTCACAATGCCGGTTGCAACTTTTAACCTTACTTTTAATTTATTTAATTTAAAATGTATGCTCTCCTCCTCAAATCAATAGTGGCTTGTCCCCGTACATCATACTTTTCCTTTAACAATAGGGTCGTGCTGGTCATCCATCTAACGCCTTTCAGGGAAATATTTTTAGTTGAAATAGCATGACTTTCGGTTTTCATCGGAGGTTCCTTTATACGTAATCGAGGCTTTCCATTAATTTAATTCGGTTTCTAAATCTAGTCTCGAGTTTCATTTACCTAACTCCGTTCTTGAGATTAATTTTAAGGAATGACAGTCGGACAGAGGGATGGATGGATGACAGTGGAAATTAATAGGTTCACAATTTTTTCAAAATGCAGCCGAAAAAGTATAAAGTGCTTAATAGTACTCACTTTTCAATTCCGTTCCATTGTTTAAGATATAAAACAGTTCTGTTTCTGCCAACAGTTTCCAGAGAAAAAGTATTATTCTGCAATGGAAATTTGTGTTAGACTTCAAGAAACGTTATTATACAGTATATTTAAATTTTTCTTTTTAAATTAATTATATTTATATACAGCGGAATCTCACGTAACGAGTAATTCGCATAACGAGCAAAAATTGTAAAAAATGACGCGCTTAACGAGCGACCTTTATCATAAAGACTGACGAGAGGGAATATCCCAGATTGTGCATATGCTCAATCAGTCCGTGTTTAGCACTCGTTCCGCTAGCATCATGGTGTCACTTATGATCACACATTTTTTCAAACTTATGTTCAGACATATTACATATAAACATCAACAACAATAGCACGTGATATAATAAACACGCCAAGCCATATGCCAAATTCTTGGCATATCGCTTGGCATGTTGTATTGACTTATGCATGTTGTACTTATGCATGTATGCATGTTATCGCATGTTGTACGCAGTTATGCTGCCATCTCGTATTAAATTTAATACAGTGGTACCTCAGGTTACGAACGCCACAGCATACGAAATTTTCAGGATACGACATGAAATTCGAACATATTTTTGCTCCACGATACGAACAAAATCTCACCATACGACGTTACATTAGTTCGCATTTTTCATTTGTTTTTCTTACTACAGTTATTTTTTTAA